TTGATAAACTCGAGTGTTCTCTCATCCCTCTGTAAATCGCATGCTTCTTCATCTGGTAAAGACATTAAGAAACAAAGACACCTGGGACTCCAGCATTTGTAAAGCACAAATTCAATTGTGATTTAGGCCCACTAGTTGCCAGCCAGTGGTTAGATTGCACAAATCCATCTCTGTCTACATTTCTCTTTTTGCATCTCTGCTCTTTGCCACTGCAAACAGCGAGCCAGTGATTTCTTTGCCAGCGTTTTTAGAAGAAACACAAATATAAGTGAGTGTTGACAACCAAACAGTATGGTCAGCTATATTAACATACAAAACAAGTGAATACAATGAAGGAGACAGTGTTGGTTTCATCTACCTAAGACAGGGGTGTCCATACCTTTCAAAGGGCACTAGATTCAATAATGTGAAAATTACTGCTGGCCAACTGTACCTGTCATCTTTTGGACCATAATAAAGTCACATTTAGTGCATCACAACAATATTGTTACAATAAAGTTAAAGAAAATACTGTTATAATTAAGTCAAAGTACTGCTATAACAATTAAATTAAGTACTGTTAAAGTTAATTAAAGTACTGTTGTAATAATGAGTTGAATAAGGTACAGTTATAATAAAGTTAAAATTAAAATATGTTTATAATAAATTTAAACAAAGTACTTTTTATAATAAAATTAAACAGTTATTATAAAATTAAAGTACTGCTAAAATAAAGTTAACTGTTATTATGTTACTGTTATAATAAAGGTAGAATTATCTTCATAATACAGTTAAACAAAGTACAGTCATAATAAAATTAAATTAAGTACTGTTACAATAAAGTTAAACAACATATTGTTAAATAAAGTACTGTTATGATTAAATTAAAGTCTGGTTAGAATTAAGTTAAATAAAGTACTGTTATGATTAAATTAAAGTCTGGCTAGAATTAAGTTAAATAAAGTACTGTTATGATTAAATTAAAGTCTGGCTAGAATTAAGTTAAATAAAGTACTGTTATAATAAAACTGAGTACAATTAAGTAATGTTATTATAAAGTTAGACAAGGTATTGTTATAATACAGTTAAAGTACTGCTATAGCAATTAATTAAAGTACTGTTAAAGTTAAATAAAGTACTGTTGGAATAAAGCTAAATACAGTACAGTTATAATAAAGTTAAATAAGGTACAGTTATGATAAAGTTAAACAAAGTATTGTTATAAAAAAGTTAAATAAAGTACTGTTGGAATAAAGCTAAATAAAGTACTGTTATAATAAAGTTAAATAAAGCACTGCTATAATAAAATTAAAGCATGGTTATAATAAAGTTAAATACAGTACTGTTGGAATAAAGCTAAATAAAGCACTGTTATAATAAAGTTAAATAAAGCACTGTTATAATAAAATTAAAGCATGGTTATAATAAAGTTAAAGTACTGTTATGATAAAATTAAAGTACTATTATAATAAAGTTAACGTATTGTTATACTAAAAATTCAGTTAAAAAAAGTACTGATATAACAAAGTTAAATAAAGAATTGTTATAATAAAGTTAAATAAAGCACTGCTATAATAAAATTACTACTGCTAAGTACTGGTATAATAAATAATAAGGTAAATACAGTACTGTTAGAATAAATTTAAATAAAATGATGTTAGAACAAGGTTAAACTCTAATTAAATAAATCAATGCTGAACCACTGGTGCTTTCACTCTGAAGCACCCTGTTTGAATTGAGCTGGTTTATATGTTTTTTGCAATGAACTTGAAACTCAGTCAACACTTAGCTGTTAGCTGTTAGCAGTTAGCGGAAATTTAAACCGTTACAGCAGCGCCATTTGACGTGAGGATTTATTCACCGTGAGCAGGAAACAATCTAACAGCTCTGCAGAACACACATTAATAATATTTGCAAGTCGCACTGGTGAACAAAATTGTGACTCAATAGTCACAGTCTGAAATCCTGCAGATGCAGAAACACACACCTCGCCTGCTCACACACTGTTATCCAGAAGAGAGAGTGGTCTGGATGGGCGTGGGAGTGTGTGTGACGTATCATGTCTGTGAGCCTTGTTTTTTCTTTTTGAGGGGAAGAGAGAACCGAAACGCCAAAGCAAGTCTCATGCCAGTGGCTTGAAAATTTATACTTGATGTTTGAGATGAGTCCCAAGTTGAGAAACATGTGCCAGCTGACGACCACATCAGTTCTTTACAAAATGCTCTGTTTTTCCTGTTCTCACTCAAAGTAATGGCGAACGTTTCAACTAAAAGCTTTCCGAAGAAAATTAGCATTACTATATTAGTGTAGACAAAGTTTGAATATCCTCATCTATTGTGAAACTGTTCAGGCTCAGCGCTCTTATTTATTAAAAACATTTATTCTCCCAAAAGTGGCAACACATTCCTACCTCTCCATGTAACAATAAAAGGCAGAAAACCCTCTTCTGTGACATTTCAGTCCATCCAAACACATGAAAAATACATAGGCAAAGTCAATAGAGAGGCTCCCTCTGCACTGCCCTTCATCCAGTGACCTTATCACAGAGAACAAAGGCCTGCAGAGCGGTCCTAGGAGACAACAAGTGCCCATACTCCACTGAGGAGGAGATGAAGCATATTCATAGCTGTAATAAAAAATGTGGTTCAGCTTTTACAGCTCTCTGCAAGGTCTCATTCTCTTCCAGTGTTTTTGTTTTATTATTTTCATTGAGCCCTTCCTGCTTTTGAGGAAATAAATTTGCTTGCCTTCACAAAAATCTGTTGTAAAAGCTGCTGACACTGACTCACCAGTATCAACACACCCTTCTCTCTTTTTCCCAAGAAACCCGACCGCAAGAAGAAATCGATTGTGAATTTAAATCTAATTGATTATCCTTCCTGCAATGCCCACAGGATGTCTCACCAGCGAAAAGGTTAATGTGGAGTTCTCAATCACGTTACACCGAAGGACCTGTCATCCTGTTGTTTTTTATTGCAACAGCCAAGCCCAAATAAAAAACTTTGAATTCAGGCTGAGTCCAATCAATCATGTTGAAATGGCAATAAAGTATACAATATTTAAAGATGTCAAAGTTTAATTCACTTACAGCAGATTATGGGGTACAGCTACAAACATTATGATGGTAAAGGAGCGTTTGTGTACAGGAAGTAATCAGTCCTGTGCACCATAATGTAACTTTGAGATGTATGTGATTACCTGTAAATGCACCTTAAAGTTGTGTTTGTGTTTTTGTAAATTATTGCTATAAAAATTGAGCACAGCATTAGTTCAGCTCACATCCCAGCTACATCAGGTGATCTCAAACAGCCCAATCAACTGATGGAGCAGCTGATTGATGGAAGGGAGTCAGCTGATAGATCACATGATTCCTTTCTATGCAACCAATTGGTGAATCTCATTCAGGGCGCCCTATTTAAACTGCTCTGGCCTGCCTACTGTTGCTGCTTCCTTGTTGTCTGACTTATCGATGTCATTTCTGTTTGTCATTGATGGTGCTCTGTTCTGGTCCCGGGGGGTCTTAGCTGAAGCTCTCCCTGCCTTAGGCTTTCCATATTTGTGCATGGAAGGGCAGGGAGATTTGCTCTCTGCCACAGGCTTTCCTCATTTGCATGTGGAAGGGCAGACAGGTATGCTCCCTCTGCCTTATGGATTTTCACGTAGACACGTGGAAGGGCAGACAGGTGTGCTCTCTCTGTCTTATGGCTTTCCACATAGGCGCGTGGAAGAGGCTTTCTGCGTAGGCCAAAAAGGCAGAGAGGCCCCAGAACACAGCCATACCACCAAATATAATACTGCAAATGGAAATAAAGTTTTCTTAAACCAAAATATTTCTGACTGAACTAAATTAAAACAGTGTTTTGTTTAAGATCCACTTGCGAATCAGTATCGAAGAGCAGAGATGGAACAATTAAAGGTGCAGTGTGTAGGATTTAGGGGGATATATTAGACAGAAATGGAACATAATATAATAACTATGTTTTCCTTACTGAATAATCACCTGAAAATAAAAGTCGGTGTGTATTGTTACCTTAGAATGAGTCATTTATATCTAAATAGGGAGCGGGTCCTTGTATACCAAGTCCGCCTTGTTGCACTGGCATGTTTCTACACAAGCCCACAATGTTCATACACTGGCTCTAGATAGGGCCTTTCGCAGTTTCAAGCTGGTCACCATAGCTAGCAGCCCCTCTGTGATGAGGGCATCAAAAGAACACTGATGTTTTTAACACGAAACAGCTTTATTCAGTGTTTTTACCGGTTTAAATCACCTGGTCCATTTGTTTTGGAGAGGAAGAGACCTCGTAGTAAAAAAAAATCTGGGACGTCTGGATCAGAAATAAGTTGAGCATGTAGCTATCAGAGAAATTAGGTGATGAGCACACATTAGCAGGTGCTAAGCCGGCGGCACGTCTGGGGCGTGCAAAACAGCATCACAGAAACACTGATATGTAACATGAAACTGCTTTATTCAGTGTTTTAATCAACTGGTCCAATTGTTTTGCAGAGGAATAGACCTCTGTGGATAATTTGGCTCTGGGGAAGTTTCAGCTGGTTGCAATCTGCAATCCTCACCGCTTGATGCCACTAAATCCCCCTAAATCTTACACACTGGACCTTAAAATGGAGAAGACGGACACTGAATAATTCTCACAGGAAATCTGGATTTAGGAACAGTGGACTGGTTTTCTTTCTATTGCCAAACTAGGACTTTCTCAGTACCTCCCTCACTCCCCTAAAATAAATTTGTGCAGTTTATTTTGCAGCCTGTTGCCAACAAAAACAAAGGCATAAGACTGGATCCTGAGGTTTGCCTGGGCTGCCTACATCTTAAATATTAACCACTACTACTTGTCCTGTCTGCCTCAAAGCAGTATCTGTAATTTAAAATAGATTCCACAGCTTCCCAAAGTTGTAGAAAACCACTATTGGACTTTGTACTACTGAATGAGTTAGGAGAAGAACCTTTAAAGTACATCACAGTAATTACAAAGGCAGTGAAAGCAATGATAAAAACTTACTCTTCTTAGCAGCAGCCATGTCACAGGAATTGGTCCAGTACCGACACACTTGGACACACACTGTCACAGCCTTGTCATCTCAGCAGTCTGACCTCAGAACAACCCTGCAAACCAAGTCAAGACAGAAGAGACAATAAGAGATAAGCACTTAGAAATAAAGAGAGAGTGAAACCTATCAGCGGTGATTAGGTCAACAGAAGAGCAGTGGAAGGTAAGGAGGGAGGTAAAGGTTGAACATGAAGCAGCCAAAATAACGGCTCGCCGCAGTGAGCGTCCCGGAGTGATTTTCTTTTTAAATACATAACCCCAGGTTAGCCTGTATTTCAGCTGAGAGCACAGCTGTGCAGCACTAGTCAATCCAGGAGTACCAGAGACTCCCGGCAGAGACTTCAATTAAAGGAAAACAACAAAACAACAAAAACAGTCTAAGAGGATTAGCTCGGGGCTGAAGCTGCTGTTTGTGGGCTTCACACAGATGGAAAATGTTCATTACGTCTCTGAGAGGTGCTTAATATAGATATGAAAATAAAGGAAACAAATGGCAGCACATAAGTGAAACCAATAGTTGGCAGGTCTGTGTAATATATTGCTGCAATAACAGGTGAGAGAGAGTAGTGTTATTGTGGGGCATTACTGCTGTTATACAACAATAACCAACACGTGTTCAGTCTGACAAGTTTCCCCAAAGCTGTGATTTCACATATTACAACCAAAGTCGTTATATCATTACTAGGGCTGTCAAAATAATGTGTTAATTTCGATTCATTAATCATTGCCTTAAAAGAATTTATGCTGATTAATCACCTTCAGTGGTGCCCTTTGACCTAGTCTTTGTAACATGATGGAGACAGATGAGACAAAGCTGTTTGGCCCTGTGGATGAAACATTCACATTTAAAAAAACGCCCAGATGGAACTGTTGATAGGAGCACCAATTTCTGCAGTAAGGAATTTTGGTACCATATAAGTACTAAAAACCTAAAATATCACCTCAACACAAAGTATTTAGCAGTGAACCAGTGGTCCATGCTAGCACAGCCTCTGAGGCTCACTAGCAGTGAGCCTCATCAAGCCCCATTCGACCAGGCGTTCAGACACAAAGTGAGTAAGTCTACCTGTGACTGACTATCTAACTCCCTTGCAAAATGGATTGCCATGGACTGCAGACCAGTTTCAGTGGTAGAGGACAGGGGGGACAATTGTGTCCAAAATCCAGCAGCCTTACTACAACACACGTCCGGCATCTCTGCACTATCATTGCAGCCACGAAATGACTGTAAGATAGAAAAGTGGCACTTTTTACTGTGAAAAGTCACCAACAAAACCTTCTAAACACAACCTAAGACACACTAAATCAGGGAGAAAGTTACAACACTGGCAACCAAGATGTTTCCCTAACGTTAGCATGTGGCTAAATGTACATTAGCATTGTACTTACGGTCAGGAAATGTCTGTAATAGAGAACAGCTGCACTTTTTATCGTGAAAAATTACCAAAAAAAGCTTCTAAACACAACCGCACATGTTCCAGCAGTAATATAATCCTAAATTAGGGAGAAATTGACAACACTGGCACATGTTTCCCTGATGTTAGCATGTTGCTAAATGTATGTTAGCAATGTACTTACAGTCAGGGAATGACTGTAACGGAGAATAGCAGCACTTTTTACTGTGAAAAATCACCAATAAAATTTTCTAAACACAACCACACATGTTCCAGTAGGAATATGATGTGACATTAGGGAGAAATTTACAATATTGGCGACCAAGTTTACATATTTCCCTAACATTAGCATGTAGCTACATGTATGTTAGCAGTGTACTTGCAGTGGGAGCATGACTGTAATGAAGTAGAGCAGCCTTTTCTGAAGTAAAAAATAACCAATAAAAGCTTCTCAACACAACCCAACATTTTCCAGCAGGAAAATGATTCAATCAGGGAGAATTTCACAACATCTGCAACCAAGTTTACATGTTTCCCTGACGTTAGCATGTAGCTACATGTAGCAGTGTAAGCTAAGTAATGTTAACACCTGGAGCAGATGATTGTGTAAGAAATTCATGACATTACATAGGGCAAATACTTCAACATATGTTTATCTCATTATTGCCACAATTAATATGAATATCCCTCATTATAATACTATATAAGACACAAAATATGGGAAAGCATAATAGGTCCCTTTAAATCCTACTACCATAAGAGCTGGGGCAGAAAATAATGCTATTACACATTCAAAAGATACCTAACTGGTACTTTGTGAAAATCAGTTTAAAGGACATATTAATCAATCAGGCAGCATGGACAGCTTTATGACATTATGATGATGTTGGCTGCATTTTACATTAATATTTAATCCCCGGAGTGATACCTGACAGCGTGGCCGATTTTACACTGCAGCTCAGAATATCATAAGACACCTATGTGATGAGAACTGGAAGCAAAAACAAAAAATTGTCTTTTATTCGAAAAATAATCCACATTAACATTTCAGTTTGATAAATTTCATCTGTCATGAGCTACTTTTCCATTTTTTGTTAGCAGAAACAGTCTAAGATTAAGAGTTTTTATGTGAAATAGGGCGCATTCACACCAGGATAGTCGGGAGGACTCAGTTCGATTGGGCGGGGAATGCCGAAAAATTTCACACCTTCATTTGGTTTGGTTCAATTTCACACTGCACTTTGTAAAGCGGACCAAACCGCCTGGACAACGTCACGCTGTTACAACAGCTGCTCGTTTGGTGGCGGTATCGCCCGAAACGACCACTGACCAGGAAGAAAAAAAAGCACGATGAAGAAGAAAACCTGGCTCATTGATTGGCCAGGACCGAAAATGGAAATCCATTCCCTTCAGCCGGCTTGGTCACCACAAAAACACCAAAATGCAATGCACTGTGCGTCACTTCCTCTCTTTGGTTCACTTCTTCTCTTTGGTTCGTTGAATAGTCCTTCTGCATTTCCCACTGTAAGCGAACCTCACCAGGGTTCACTTGCAAGTGAACCAAGACCCTCAGTTTTCAAGCGGACCAGGGTTCGCTCGTGTGGTCCGCACCAGAGTTCGAATGAGCATTCACACCACTCCAAACGAACCGACCTATTAATGGAAGCGGACCAGGGTTCGTTTAAAGTGGACCAAATAGCACCAGTGTGAATGCGTCCTTAAAGTGGTTTCTTCATCCTTCAACTAAATAGCAAAAAATATTCACTCTATATCATATTAACACGTATATTAAGTGTTGGCCTACTTTTAATATTTATAAATTATCTACATCTTTTTATCCTGTTGTAAGGTTACAGGCCATCGTATATTTCACTCTGATGAATATGACTTGCAGGTCATCAGTATCACCATTAATGGCTCTGATGATGTTGCTTGTAATTAACAACTCCACCTATTTCACACCAACACACTCGTTGCTGGAAAGGAAAACCCATAGTTCACTGAGTTAGTTAAAGTCCAATACATCCAGAACTCCGCTGCCCTACTCCTCACCCATTCCAGCTCCCACGATCACATCACCCATCCACCAGAGCCTCCACTTGCTCCCTGTTCCACAACGCATTCAATCCAAAGTCCTCTTAACTCATAAAGTCCTCCATAACCAGGCCCCCTCCTACCTCACTGACCTGCTCCACCTCCACACTCCTTCTCACAGTCGCCGCTCCTCTGAGCCAACTTCCTGACTATACCACTCAGGACCAAGCACCAGACCTGGGGTGACAGAGCCTTCTTCACCCCAGCCACCCCCTTTCTCTGGAACTCACTCCTCAAACACATTCAAGACTGCACCGACCTCTCCCAGCTCAAATCACTCATCAAAACTCATCTTATTTTATTACTAATGTACAGTGTCTTTGAGTACTGTGAAAAGCCCTCTATAAATAAAATGTTTATTGTTTAATATTATTATCATTATCATTATTATTATTAATAATAATAATAATAATAATGTATTATTAGTTGATAACCAGCTTGGTGATGCTAGTTATCCAGACAGCCAGTGTTAGGGTTAATGAAGCCACATAACAAAAAGGTCTCCTGGGTACGTTAAACTGGCTTCGTAGTGCAGGCCCCTGCTTTTGTGTTTTCATTGCTTCTACACAGTTGTTTTGTTAGCTGTACCAAGAGAGAACACACACACACACACACACACACACACACACACACACACACACACATCTTCCCACACCATGGTCAAGATTTCTTACTTTTATATTTCAAGAGATTTTTTTTTGGTGATCAAAAGTGTTTTTCTCACAATTTAATAATGGTTTAATTAATAGTGCGGCAAAGTGGTGCAGTGTTTGGCATTGCCACCCCACAGCAAGAGTGTTCCTGGTTCATACCCAGGGTGGGGGGGCTTGAACCCAGGGCGGGTGAGTGTGGGTTTCTCCAGGTACTCCAGCTTCCTCCCACAGTCCAAAGACATGCAGGTTAATTGGTGACTCTAAATTGGCTGTAGGTGTGAATGTGAGTGTGAATGATTGTCTGTCTCTATGTGTCAGCCCTGTGATAGTCTGGTGACCTGTCCAGGGTGTACCCCACCCTTCGCCCAATGTCAGCTGGGACATCAACGTCACCACCGTTAAAGGCGGATGAATGAGTGGATGACGTTTAATGTCCCCAACAACCTTTGTAGTCTCATTTAGCAACTTGTTAGCAACCACCTTTTAAAAGACACATAGAAGCTTCATTGCTCATGAGCTGGTTATTTACTGATGTATTTTATGCTGTAGAACAAAACGTGAATGTCTCTTAAGCTTGAGTTAACCACAGACCTTATTTCAGGCATCTAACCAAAAACCCATTCAAAAAGCCCAGTGACTTTAAGATGAGGGAACCAGAGGGGCTAAAGTGCTAACTCATTCCCAGGTTTTGGGACTCAATCCTGCAGCAATCAATTCAGAATGAAGCAGCCAGCAATGTGCTGCAAGAAAACAGCAGATGCTTTCTGATCTCAGTGCAGACAGTTTGGCAGATGATGTTACTTTCATTTCTTTTTGGCCAGCCTTGATACAGGGAATCTTATTTCAATCCACATCAAAATCAGCTGCTGCTGGTGTAAAATCGCCCTTGGAAATGTTCTCATTCAAAAATGCCAA